AAATGGTCAGAGACAACTAAATCAAGCCCACTGCAATGCAATTTTAAAAGAACACACCATTCCTTACAATGAGTTCATGTTTTTAGATCCGATTGACGACAGTAAAAACTCTTGACAGACTGGAGATCTTTGAGGAAACATGATGGACAAATATTATTTTAATTTTCAAAACTGGATGGAAAGTTTGGTCTTAAATGCAATCCCAGCATGATTCTTCAGTAGATCTTTAAAGGGCCAGGTGGTAAACACTTAGAAAATGATCAACTAGACAATCTGCAGGTGTCAGCATTTAAACAGGTTCTCTACGAGTCAGGCATCTCTGGCCACCTCACTTCCTTTTTGGACAAAAGTTACAAGACTGGTGGATCATAAAATTGTAGTAGCTATAGTATCCTTGGACCACAACAAAATGAAGGTCTCTCTTGATATCCTTATGGTCAGGATGATAACATGGGGTGAATCTGAGTACAGTCGAATGAATGTATGCGTTATTCAAAGGGTAGTTAATAATAGTGGATCTGTATCAGTTTGGAAGGAGGTCATACCAAATAGCCCAAGCATTTTTTCCAATTTAACCCATCAAACATACTCTGTACTAGACATTGTGGTGAGCAAAAGAACAACAATGAATAAGACAGACAGCCTCTGCCCTTATAGATCTTATCTTTGAATCTGTCCCTAACCCTGTTCCATAAACATTTTTAGATGACTTTCAGGAGTATTCAGAAAATATGTTTATTAAGTTTATATACGACAAGCAGGTAAGAGGCATAGCAGATCCAGCAGATGATGAAATTGCATCCTAAGGAAATGTGAAAGTCTAGTGTCATGGGTTAAACCAAATAATACTAAATATAATAAGGATAAGTCTAAGGCTCTGCCCTTGAATCCAAAACAACAACAAAAGCCTACAATGGCCTTCACAGAAGTATGGGTTGAGGAGAAATACAGTTTAGCAGCAATGTAGAAAATGATCAAGGGGTTTTGGCAGAAAACTCAATATGACTAAACAGTGTGATTGGCTAAAAAAAGAAAAATAATAATCTAATGCTATCTTGAGATGTATTAATAGAACATGTATTAGAAAGTAAGGAAATAGACATACTCTGTCCTGTGTTAGTGGCCTAGGTACCACTTTTATGAGGAATATAGAAAGAAATTGACTAGAATAGTGATGGCCCCTGAGACAGCAGAAGGAACAGTAGAAAGAAATGAAAACATCTATTTCTGAAAGGGTTCACTGGGGACAGAACAGTCATCTTCAAATATTTAAAAGACTATTCTGTGGAGGAGGGGTCTACACTTGTTCTATATGACATCTAGAGACAGAACTAGGACAAAAGAAGGAAAATAGAGTGATCTATATTTAAACCAGCTATAGTTCAAACTAACTACAAACTATTTTGTACAAACCTCTTGCGACAACCTGTGAGCTCTAGAGGATGTACCGAGGGCTCCTTCTCCAGCCATTCT